ATCTCTCTCAACAACAACAACGGAGGAGGAGGAAAAGAGAGAGATACACACAGACTGTGAGTCCAATCTGTGTGTATCTCTCTCAACAACAACAACGGAGGAGGAGGAAAAGAGAGAGATACACACAGACTGTGAGTGTTTCACAATGATGCAAATCGAATAATTAGTAGACTAGCTTAATAATGTTCACACTAACCTGCAAGTGACTTTTGAATTTGAATCCAATGGGCGTCTTTCGTACCTCGACATTCTCATGAGTCTCAGGGATAATCGACTGATTAAGAGACCTGTATATAGGTAACCCAACTGGTCCGGTCAATACCTGAACTTCACTAGCTTCTCACCGATGGCAAACACGCACTCGCTGGTGAAAGCATTATTCATTCGGGCCAAACGTATCTGCTCTAACGACTGCTTACCTGAGGAGTTTGAGCTGATCACAAAAAGGCTTATGGAGAATGACTACCCAAAACGATTCATAGACAAACATAGCCAGGTTAGACAACCCAAAGAAATGGTGTTGACAGCCCCAAAGAAAAAGGTGTACATCGAGCTACCGTTCAAGGGTGACAGCGCATCTAGAAGGACAACCAAACGCATTGTCTCGGCCATTCAGCGTACGTACTGTACTGCGGAGGCGGTAATTGTCAACAGTACTCGAAAGTTGTCTTTACCTTCAGTAAAGGAAGATGAACCCGTCGGCGCCAAGTCACATTGTGTTTACCAATTCGTGTGTGACTGCCGCATCAGTTACATCGGCAGAACTGAAGCGGGTTTAAATTCCAGAGTGAAGGAGCACTTCTCAAACTGCGTTCAGCGCGAAGTTACTCAATCCACCTCCGACGATATGTGCTCGCGTAAGCCGCCAACGTCCTCCATAGGCAGGCATATTTTGGCGACTCTTCAACGGATCAATCCCTTATCGGCGTTCCGAATCTTGTAGTGTCATACAAATGGACGCCTTTTGCGATTTACCGAGGCCGTCGCGATAAGCCGAATTAGACTAGCCTTGTATGTTCAAAAACAAGTAGTTTTCAACCTGCGGTTGCCGTGGTCTTAATACCAACAACAATAACGACAACCATAAATTTGATTGGCTTGATTGTGCCCTATTAGACATATAAAAGGATTTCCCTGTTATTGCATTGCTACTTACGAGATAATACGGAATGTTAGCATCTACCAATATCCGTCTTCTCATTTCCTTGTTCATTCTGCTTAGTGCCAGATCCATAGTCAACAAGCTCCATTTTATAAAAACAGTTGCACAGTTCAGTGACCCAGAAGCGCTCCTCGGCACTGAAACAAATTTTTCATCTCATACGCTTTTATCTGATGGTACCAAACTAACATCTGTTTAGAAAAGATTGCTGTACAAGAAAACGTAGCAGAGAAAGCAAATGTACATAAAACATTTACAGCTGAACATTTAGACCACGTACAATAGAATAATGTCCCTGAATCTATTTGGCTGTCATTTCCAAGTGCCTCCCGTTACATACTGCTTGCCTGTAATTACAATCCACCGAATGCGCCTGACGCGAGTATCACTAAAATCTTTTCTGCATTTGACCTTGCATCAGAATTGCCCCACAGACAGAAGATAAGTGCAGGTGATTTCAACTTAATAAAGATCCACTGGTGATCCCATCCAACATCAATCTTGTGTACACGACTTTTCTTTCTTCCATCAAAGCAGAGGGCTGGACACAATGAGTTACCAGTCCAAGCAGGTCCGCAAATGTATTGGACTTAACATTCATATTGGGATACTCAATGTACGGACCGCATTCTTATGAGATCTCCTTGGCAGTTACTATTAAATAGTCCAATTCAGTTTCCGCATAAAAATGGTCACTACACTCGTCACTACACAGTGACATGCAAACCATAAAGCAAAGTATAAATACTTCCAGCAATTAATGGGTTGTTTTGACTGAGACATTCCGTGGAGCGAGAGCAAACAAGCGAACTATAACTTGGGAGGATACAGGGAGGAATCTGGAGTCATTAACATCCTTGTACACGGTGTTCCCGAGGCTAGAGGTCATGATGAGCGCGAAGATATCACTCACCAGCAAGAACAGTGGCGATACATTCGAGTGACCCTCTCCATGGTAAACGTCATATCGCAATTGATCTCGAGGCTGCGCAGATCATCAATTTAGAAGCAGATGACCCGAGGATTGTGAAAGGGGTGCTTCATTCCCGACAAATATTAACGAGGGTGTTGAATTGATGATAAGGGAGCTGTAGTAGCCTTTCTTTTGATCTCCGGATCAAAGCAGCGTCACCTAAGTAAACAAAATTGTGCAGCAATTTTGTCGAACCTATTCCCGACAACACTGCAGATAACATCACAGCTAGCCAAAGAAATTGATGAACACACACCAAACGATAGATAAACAGGGAGGAGCAAAGAGCTAATGGCAGGATCCCTTGATCTAACACAGATGAGTTCGTCCTTAATAAACCCAAGAAAGCACTAGTGACCGACATTTTACCGATCAACACAGCATTACGCACGAAACAAGCATCCCCGTCTCACAGTTAAGAACAGAGGAAATTCCTTGTGTACACACGAACGCACAAGCTCTCCTGAACAAGCTTCCGAACCGCGGCTAGGTCAAGCTTTATATGCTTTGGACCTCATATTCGTGACGAAAGCTTGGTTGCACTCGGATGTTCCTAGCGCCGAAATCGGGATACAGCGTATATCCCTTCACCAAAACCATCGCCCCAGCAAGAGCAACAGAGTAAATGTATGATGTTATGGTGACATGTAGTCAGAACCGATGCAAGATCCGGAAACGCTTTAGCGTGAAATAAAGTAACGACTATAGATTGCATGCAGCCCTTAATCCACCCTCCTCTGCAAGGCATAACCTTGTGTACGGATCAGCTTTCCGTTGTTTATTGCCAAGAGTTTTGCTAGAAATCAAAAGTAAAACTGTTGGACGGTTAAACCACAGCACTAAACGGCTGATCTTCGTAGGCCTTTGAACAAAACTTTGGTTGGTTTTCTCAGCCCCAATAAATACCCGATGAATCAAAAGTTCACATAGCGGCAAATGATCAGTTGTCCAAGACTGTCGTATCATGTTCTTGCCCGAAAAAGGAAAGAATGTGGAACAGCATGTAGTACACGAACATATGATGCATTACTCAAGTACGGTGGCTGTTTACTGTTTCTGCACATACCGCTTGTTTACATCCACTGACCCGCAAGCGTTATTCATCCTCCCTCCTGGGTTCAACCAACTCTGCTCTATCTGACGCTACAAGGAACTTGACTGACGCTACTCCGCGTGAATTCTCGGTTATCCATAGACCCCGTGTCAACATGCTGAACTCGAGTGGGTCGTACTTGATTCTGGTTCTACTAACTAGTCAAGCTTCGCCAGTTTATCTGGTGTCATGAGTTCTGCCTTATTGGCTCGCAGGCGGTGATTGCTAACTGCTGTTCTGGCAGATCACCTCTCTTTTGTCTGCAACAAAACGGAGCTTCTTCCCGTCTGGACTGACAACGCCACTTTATCCTTTCAGCCCCTTAGGCCGTGGTCATTTCACCTAGGTGCAGCTTGATCAATCTTTTGACTGCTTACGAAGTGATGATTTCATCACAATTCAGAGCGGCGCGTAACAAATGGAACTTCAGTTTCGTATCAATCCTTGAAATTCTAGCATAAGCACGACTTTAAATCTAGGTATATTCTAATCGGCAACCAATTCTGTTGTTAGCTGATCCTATGGACTCGTGCAAAGTATAATATGCCACTCCATTGTGTAAGCGATTACGCGATTTGAAAGATAATGCTCCGACTTCTTATTAGTTTTGGTTTACTAAGATAAAAGTGCAATCATTCGCTCAATTTCCCATTTCTCATTTAGTTGCATTGGCTCCAAACTAGTCGGCTCCGCGAGCCTCATGTTTTGCAACTTGGGTTTTTTTCTGCAAAATGGATTCACCGTTTTGAATCCTTTGCCTTGTCCAAGGAACGCGATTGCCCATTAATTGCTGGGTTGTCATGGGCATTCTACTTTGCAATAATTGCGATTTATATATATAAAAGAAATACATGTCCTACTATTAGTATAAATGAGCAGAGAAGGTTTCTTATATCTAATATTTGCTTGATCTAGCTGCAGTAAAAGATTGGGAAGCGACTGTTCAGGAAATAAGAAACCTTTTGCACCTAGAGGTTAGACACAAGTCAAAGAAGAGTACATGCAATTTTGTAGTCACCAACATAATATCACCAACTGCTAGTATTCGCGGTGACAGTGGAAGTGGTCTTCCATTCCACAGTATGGCTAACCTTTCCATTATTTCCACCAATTTAATGTAAGCCGCCACATTTAGTAGTCTAGAAACAAGAGTAGATCGTTTAATTGCGCATTCGGTTGATGCGGTTACCTGAATAAGCTTAATTTTGATAGCTTGTGGCGAAAGATTAATTCATTTGTCCCTAGAAATTCTGTGGATTGCTCGTTACAAGTATAATGTCTCAGTTAATAAAGAAGCTACCCATAAACGTATCCGTTATTCTTGAACCTGTGTGTTATTATTCGGGATCGCAATGAATTTCATCTACTCTCAGTCTTGCTCTATACTACAGAAGGATCCGCTAAGTTTTAAGGAGTGACGATGGCAGTAGAATCTCTTGACTAGAGTCTCATTGTTAGTGCATTCAGTAAACATTGTAGAACATTGATACAGTAATGGTAATCATGAGTTATGAACGGAAAATGACTAGGCGTTCTGAAACTGCCGTTTACTTTGCGGCGAATAGTAGCTAATTCGTATATATTAAGACCTTCCTCTCCGTTATTATTAAAGCACCATCAGTTGGCGATCGAATTTACTCGGCTAATTGAGGAAGACCCCCGCTTTGAGATTGTCAACGAGGTTCGTTTTGGACTGACCTGTTTTCGGTTGAAGGTAAGTTACTACTATAAGAACTGTCTGGAAAAAACTTTTTAAACCTTTCCATAATATGTTAAGATACTATTAATGATCGTACTGAAAATAACAAATCGCTAACAGCTAGACTGCAACCAGTAGTCCGAAGTATAATTTGAAACACGATCACGAACTACTGTGCTGGATAATCTTGGATTCTAAAAGACTGGCAGAAAAAACATAAAAAGTGCTAGTGCGCTCTTTGTTCTCTTGCGTAGTGTGTCCAGAAAGTTGGAAGCTTTCATGCTTGCTCAAGTACAAAGCTTCTTCATGAGGAATTATGTGAAATATACCGTGCAAGCTTGGCGTCTACGGCTGGAGCTCGATGTCGCTGACCTTATGGTTCTACAACATGGGTTGACACGAAACCTTAAAGTGTTGTTACCTTTACGCCAGCTATGCAAACTGCAGAAGTTTAGATTGTACATCGACGCATATCGGCGTTTTGGAGGAGACATCGTTATGGTATACCAAATGGACGCGAAACTCAAAAACGCCTGCTCCGATCAGTTGCAAGTTATCCCCGATCCAAACCTGATGGGCCACCAGGCCTACAAATTCTAGCCCAAGAATTTGCCGGACGTAAATCGCTATTCCGTCCCACTTCATTTCTGACTGCACATGATACGCCACATCGGTTGCATTGCGCGATATGATCATTTTTAACCGAGTTCACTAGATTTAGTCATGATTTTACGGTAAAAAAGCTACAGTTGTGCACAAAGTAATCACTTGTTGAGCCTGCTTTAACCAGGGTGCTTTACTCGACACTGTTACTTTCCTGACAATCTCCTGTTACTCTGCAAGCGTTGTTAAACGGGGCATTTTTACCCATTATTAATTATTTCATCGTTACAAAATAACTTAAAAATCCAAATCACATGGTAGTAGGTCTTCGTTTTTCTTTGTGCAGTAGCCACGTTCGCTAGTCTAACAGTCCAATGGCGGCTTTGAGTTGTTTACACATATTAATCTATTTTTAGGCCGGTGACGAACCAACACAAGAGTTGCTCAACGCATTGTTACAAGAGAGAACATTGTATTTATCAGCCGCGACACTGCCGGAACACATTTGCACCAATAGAGGTGGTTACTATTTGAGGTTTGTTTCCACACATCAAGCCAGTTCAAGTGATGTGGCACATGCAGCAGAGACAATAATGAGCGCTGCATCTCGTGTCCTTCTTCAGTGCTCAAACGGTACTGATTAAGATCGGAACGGATTTCACTGTGTAACACACAACCACCGTATCTCATGGATGAACATACACTGCTAACAATCGCGTGCTATTTTAAGCATGATAAAACCTGCACTTGTAGAAAACGGAGCCATACTAAGTACGTTATCAGTTGCAGAATGCATCGATATGGTTCAAAGGATTTGTTGTATCTTTGAATTCGTTTATCGACCCGTCCACATAGTAATAAAATACAGTACGCAATCACCTACACTAATTCTGCCTGCAAATTCCACAAACTAGGTGTTCTGTTCACAACTGCGTCCGCAATTTTCGATAGTTGTATCGAAATCACCGTATTACTTCTGCATCATAGCACATAATTAATATTGCGAGCTGACTGTTATTTCATGCAAGCTCGCCAGTCACAAATCAGTCACAAATCATAGATATGCAAAATGTGATTATATGAGACAAATAGCCAGCCAATCATTCGTCACTAGTCCCGCCTCGAGCTAGCACGGTACATTTTGTCCCACCGTCATCTTGTAGGTGACTAAAAGCAGACATTAGTGCACCAGCTATCAGTAGCGTGGAAAACCCAGCAGGCAAAACAGCCGTAATGACTCACTCGAAGGAGAGGAACTCTTTAGAAACACAATTATGTGCGCGCGAGTATTGCACGTACAAGTAATGCACACACACACAGAAGGAAACCCGCATAAGGAAGGTGAGTGGATTTCTCGTTTGTCGAACGGATGCACTTAGTATTAGCTATGTTTGACCCAATCAACTATTTCGCGTGGACCTCGGGTCCTTACCATCTGTTTCTGCACGCATATAATTAGTGTTGCTCACCAATGGTAATTGCTTCCAATAGCCTGAGAATGTGGAGCCGCAGGTTGCACGTCAGGACCGTGATCGACTCACTGGGGACGACTTAGTTGCCGGCGCTCTGCATGTGCTTTGTGATTGTAGAGGTAGGTCAATTCAGCCAGCACCGATCCCAGCCTGCTGCGTAGCCACTTGGATATTTGTTCATTGATTGTTAGAACTAAACTTCGGACAATGAGCCTGACATAGCTTTCATACAGCTGCATGTGAATTCGTAGTAGCAATGGGACATGCAGTGCCTTGTTATCGGTATCTTGATAGAACACATGGGCAGAGGTCTCGTCTAGGTGAGCAACCGTATTTCAGCTGCACTGTACGTCCTTTTCAAGAAAGTACTAACAAATTTCGCGAGGATCTTCAAAATGTGATCATCTTTGAATGACAGTTCCTAGAAGATCGCATTCTTTTGAACCATTGGTACACGATCTCCCTTGGCTGTCACTAATGCTCTCTACAGACTGCATCAGATAACCGTTCCATTGCATTGCCTTGAAAAGCAGAGCTTTCTTTGCTTCTTATGTGTCGGAGGTGTAAATCATTTGGGCTCGATGAAACAGTGTCCGCACGAGTGAGCGTTTGTACTGTATTAGGGTGAAATACGTAAAATGCGTTGCGCTAAACAGACCTTTTGCTCGAACCATCCAATCGCATGTACCCAGTGTGTCTAGGTACGAAAGCAAATTATTTTAATCGATGTCACACGTAAGCTTGGATGGCACACACAAAAATATTAAAGCCAATGCTACATAAAAGTGATATATCGCAATCTAAAAATAATTTTCCTGTTCAAAATCAAACGGAAATATGAGACCACCACTCGTCGAATATTTTGTACAAGACCGAAGGTATACTCCAGTAGGTCCGTTCTTGTCTATTAAGTTTCAAAATGACAGATGGGCAACAAAGCAACCGTCAACAAGGCTCATTGGCCTATTCAGGGTTGATCTCTCTGCCAATCAAGTCCTGGAGCTTGGACTTCAACACAATCCCTCAGACTTGCTTAGACATTGAACCGGCTCATAGCCATCTAGCGGTATACTTTGTTATAATTACATAAAACTTAGGATATACCACTACACGCTTAATCATTGCATTTATACTGGCAATAATTAACGTTTGCATAATAGCGAAAGTAATAGATTCTCCAAAGTTGCAAGCTATTGGGTAATCATACTCTCCCGACTTAGATTGAGGTAGTGAACGACACCAGCAGCAAGAATACCTCTAGTTATCTCGCATAAAGAAATTATAGTAAACAGTAAGCGATGTACTAAAATCAATATGTAGATCTAGGGTCAATATAGGAGTAGGGAATTTAAACTTTAATTATCTTATGTGTTAAGTTTTTATTTTACTGTTTGATTAGAGGTTATTGAAGCCATCTTGCTGACACCATGATTTTGGTCAAAGTGCCCCATTAAGCTAAGGGTTAAATTCCTAATCAAACTCAAAAAATTCGTTTACATTTCTTCAGCGTTGGAGCTTTCGTCTGAACAGCATAAGGTCTTCTCACTTGGTTCGAAATGTCATTATCACAATCGTCACAAACGTCAGCTGGATCATGAGACTCAAATCAAAACCGTACTAACCCAAACGCATGATTTACCTACACCATCGACTGATACTCGTGGTTGTTTCAAGTCCTCGTCGGTTAAAGATTGTTACCGATATCGAAAATTTCATGGAAATCAACGGGGCCTCATTACGCGTTAAAATATGGTGGTCCTGTACTAGTTGGGAAGAAATGGATTTGTTCACATGTAAGCCAGATAAGAGAAGTGGTATAGTCTCAATGGATAGGAATGATTACAGCTCAAAAAGTAAAACAGATTCTTTCAGCCGAAACAAACTTATGCTTGAAGATGAACGAGAAAGACCAAACAGACAAGATGGAAGGTAACTTGGCGAAGCGCCTAATAGATCTATCTACCCGCAGTTTTATAACTGGTTGTCTGTTTGAAAGTCAGAGGCTCGTCGGGAGATCGTTCTTGAAGATGTATGTACCGTTAAAATTTCATGAATATGGTGTTTCACTACTCCCAACATTGTATGAGAAACTCGGCGTACCAAACTACAGCCCAAAGTTTGGAGCTAATAAGTTAATGAGTTGCTAAAAGTAGCCTTCTTGCTAGTTTCACATAGGCTGAGCACCTTAAAGATGGGAACCTAAAATCAAAGAAAATGACCTCACTCGATGTAGGCTCCTTATTCACGAACGTACCACTGCTGGAAACGATGGAATATCTACACATGTGCTCAACAACTGCATTTATTTACGTAGATCCTTAGGAAAACTGAGGGGATTGCTTCATAAATGTACTTTTAAAGGTCAATTGTTTTCATCGGCATACATCACAGGCAAAATGCTGGGGTCGCAATGGGTCCCCACTCAGACCAGCGCTAGCGAATATGGTCTTTTCTAAACTGGAAACTGTATCATTGGGTCTACTTATAACTCGTATACATCATTACTACCGCTACATGGATGACATATTTTGCGCTTGGAAGTAATAGTGGTAGAGTCTAATACTGAGCACCCAGAAATAATTGTACCTACGAACTTGAACAAGCAAACCAAATCTCGCTTCTAGATGTACACCTGAATAGGCGAACGGATGTTTCCCTATTAAGGAAGATCAAGAGAAAAAGGACATGGACCGGTCAGTATACAAACATTTTCTTAGCACTTGAATGCAAACGCTACCCATTACAATGATTTACCTCAAGAAATATTTGCCTAGAGGAGGCTCTGGAGGATTAGATGAAATCCATACTGAAGGCTTTGGGCGAAAATGGTTATCCGAGAAGATTCATTTAGCGTAACACGCAGCTCAAAGGAACACCATTAATGAGAAAATGGTCGAAAGGAAGACTTTCTTCACCTTGCTTCGTTTTGTAGGTTGTGCATTTGTGGAGCTTGCAAAAAGGATAGGGTTACCATCGATAACGTGCGCTGTTCCGGCTGCGAACTTGCGTTTCATCTTCGTCACGAACCAGCTAATTTCTTTGTGCAATAAAGACAGATTGCCGAGTCTGACCTCGTCTTATGTAAGCTGTTGAGTTGAGTCCATCTGTAGTCTAACTGCACGTCAATTGTCATGTCGCACTAAAGAGCACAGACCTAAATGGTGAGCAAATGGGCACCGGAATTCGTTCAAGCAGTATTTCGTACGGCCTTTTCATTATTTCAGGAATCGTCAACACTGCGCATTCCGTCCGACACTTATGGGGTTCGAAGCCGCAACGCGACTGTTACCGGTCTGTAGTTGAGACCCCTGAGATACGGAGGACGGCAACAGCCGCCATAACTAAGATACGACAGCGCTTTTCCGGTTGTGTAATAGCTGTCTAACTGGGTCTACATGAAGTGAATTTCTCCACAAGTCATTCAAATCCCCTATTTATCTTGGTGGACCGAATTTTGACCCACTTGGTCGAATCAGGTCAACTAGTTGACCTCCTGAATGCTTTTGCTCTTGTTCGTCAGGTTCCAATGATCAAATCCACAGGTTTGCGGTTAAGTATGTTCGCCGGCGCTGCGTTCGCAAAACGTTTGCTCTGTTTCTCCGTCTCTCTTGGTTGAACAGTCATCAGTCTAGCCGCTGCGCTGACATCGGTTCCAGCTCAGTGATTAGGTACCTCTCAATCAATCTGTATGAATGTACCATTGCGGAACTGTCTGCTGCCTAAGCATAGACGGATCAATGCAAACCATTGTCCGACAGACTAGAGTTCTGTACTTTGGTTAGTCAAAAACCTTGAATGTGCGTCTGTGATACCACTTTCTTGATAGATTGGTGGGTTAATAACACAGTTAGTTAACCCATAAAATCTTCTGCGTATTAGTTATTGCAGGGGGATTGACGCAATTATAGAAACTTTGATAAGATGTATCCGCCTCAGTGAGTGGCGTCAAATCGAGTGTTTTCGATGAACTAACTGGAATACTTTATACATGCCATAAATGGTTGGCTAATGCGTGAAACAAATAGATATGCTGTGACTGTGAAAATACATTTTTTCAAATTCTAACCTGCATGTCTTTTGTAGTTGCTTAGATTAGCCTCGACAATAGCGCATCCACTTGGCTTGATTAATAGTGAATTAATTCCGAATTGGAAAGTAAAGTACAAAGTAAAAGTTGCAACTAAAGCAGGGGCAATAAAAGTAATCCAAAAAGGCAAGTAATTCATGCTATGAAAAACAA